AACAGTTTCGCCCCAAAATCCTGTTGCTCTTAGACTGATTGGTCATGGAACGTGATGGACCGTTTCCCCGGGGGATGGAGGACAAGCTTCATCTGAACGAATCTGCTGAGATGGTTGCTTTTCACTCGAGAGCTTGCAACGAAAGCGGAATGTTTATTGCCAAAAAGTAATGCTGTGTGTGCATTTGGTGGTGGGATCAAAAGGGTGTTGTGTACTGTGAGTTGCTGAGCCCGAAGGAAACTGTTACTACTGACCGCTACGAACACCAACTTGACAGTTTGTAGGATGCTCTCACCTACAAGCGGCCGTTTATCGCAAGAAAATATCTTGGGGTGTTGTTTCACCACGAACATGCCAGACCCCATGTTGCGAAGAATGTCCTTCAAAAAAATTGCAGTTGTTGGATGGGATCAGCTTGTTTAGCTCGCATACTCTCCGGATCTTGCTCTTTCTAATTACCACCTATTCCGGTCCATGCAAGTCAGTTTGGCAGATATACGCTTCCGGAATGCCGAAGAAGTGCGAAAATGGGTGGATAACAGGATTGCCTCAAAAGATGAAGACTTTTTTGGAGGCGGAGTCAACAAGATACCAGAAAGATGGCAAGAAGTTGTAGCTAACGATGGGCAATACATTGGTTGATGTACATTTAGATTTATTTTGTAATAAGTATGTTTTTGCACGCGAAAACGGCGGAAATGAATGCACACACCTAAGATATTAAGTTAATGCCTAATGAGTGCGGTTTCAATCATCAAATTCCACTTTGACGATAAAAAGACGATAAAAAGATTTGACAAAGAAGTGTTCAAATAGTTGCTCCGGAACATATCCATCATCTACGTCAAGCACTGCTTCCCATTTGCTTGGCAGTCGGAGCACATAGGTGAAGAAGTCTCAATTTTTGGAGGCGATCCAAAGTTTGACGTTCTAGTCATCCATTTCGTCGGAAGTCCTGTTCGCCAACCAATTTTTCAACTGAAGATTGACGTGGTAATCCATAGTTGGTGGTGAATAGGGCGGACGAAGAGGCAGACCTTATTCTTTAATCGGCTATGGCTGAGTGTTCCATCGCTGATAAGTCCGCTGAGATCGCTTTATGACTGTGCCACCTTCCAACTTTTATCGAAGAGTTAGGGCATAATGTGGCGTATATAGAGATGAGTTTCTAGATATGTTTCGGCTAATGAAAGTATAAAGCTTACTTCTATTGAGTTCGGATTCAATATTCAATTTGTATCGAGAGGAAAGAACTCGCGAAAAATCCGCAATAATTATGCTTCAACCTATTAGAATAGATAACCCTAATCGACTACTCAGATTTCCATATTTACCGATAACAGCTTCCAAATTCATAATTCATTTCGAGATCGCACCTGTAGTACATAAAAACTAGAAGTGAGGTCGTTCAGTGTTCAACAAGAGTTCTGGGATGACTGGGGTAGGCCGCTCTAATCATTCTGCAACGTGGTTTTGCATAATTTTATTAGCATCAATGGAAATCGACGTCTGTGGAGGTACAGTGCTACCCAAATTCAATGAAATACTTGGCTGGGAAGGAGCAGCAAGTAAGGGGAGAAGTGGTCACATAAAACACTATCTTCAGCTGAAACTCTTGAAATTTTTTATCACGATTGATGCTAACGAATGTATTGCCAACTTCCCGATTCAAGTATAGGGTTTGCATATTTTTTTGTCTGGACTCGTTCAAGTCGCAGTACGTACACGCTTATAGAAAAAATATGATGGGAAACAACCCCCACTTAGGGGAATGACAACACTGGCGTGTTCATAAGTTCCGGCAGTGAATGCTCTGGCTTCAGTCACTGAGCACTTGCAACTTGATTGATCAATCTATTGGTTATGGGTATATAAATTATCAAGCTGATGCATAAGTTTTGTCTCCCGACTTTTTTGTTGATATCTCAATCGTGAACCAACCTAGAGATTAGAGATATGCACTATTACCACTAGTGCATATCTCTAAACTTCAGGTTACTCGAAGCCAGCGCTCAGGAAGCTTGCCGGTTCCTTAGCATCCAAAGGACGGAGACTGGGACTTGAAAGAGTCGTCGGGTGCCTTTATGACCTTATCCTATGTTTCGAACTTTTTTCCATGCGAAAAGCTGCAGGTGGCTGAATAGCCAATAGGATAATCAGTCATCCGTACTTCTCCAGCTCGGCCTCGCTCGTTTTCTCGTTAAGGTCATGCTTTGTCATGGTAGAGGAAGATTTCCGCATTCGATCCTCGAGCACCGTCGACACGATCTTTCAATTTCGCAGCTGGGTAACCTATGTAGGAGCGTCGATCGTTTACCCCTTCTCCAGCAGCTCTGCTAGCAGTAACAGGATAGGAAAACCTTCTAGAGTGAAGGTCGGCCTTTGGCGTGGCTTCGGCTGTTCTCCTTTGTCGACCCACTGTCGCTTCCTCACAGGGTTATCGTGAGGGACCCACTTCTTATTTCCAGTAATCATCGAGTTGAAAGTGGAGCTTTTTTGGAAAGTGAGGGGGAGAGGTGCAGCTGGTCACCCTCCATGAGAGGTCATAAGCGGACAATTCATGTGTTACCCATTGAACGAACAATCGTCGATTGATTACAGCCAAGCATGGTCGCCACTTGGCTGGTGGTAAGGTGTGGATCCTCCTTCACGGTGGTTCTTAGTACTTCCAAAACCAACTCCATTGACCGAAACGACCTCGGAGCATCTTCGAGAGAAAAACCTCCTTCCTCGAACTTGGCGAGCCAAGTCTTGCATGCGCGATAGAAGATGATGACCTCGCCGTTTGTTTCCACTAGCCTGGTACGGACTCCCTTCACATTCCAGCCAAAATCGTGAAGCCAAACCAGGCTGTGACGTAGGTACATTCTTTCAGGGGGTAATTGTACTGCATTGTCGTCTGCATATGCAGAGTGGGTGAATGATAGTTAAAGTGATGAAAGAGTGCCATGCAATATCACGTCGCACACGTGATGACAAAATACCAACATCCTGCAAACGAAATACGGAAGGATCGAAACAGGGAAAAAACTTATGCATCAACCTAATAGTATGAGCGATGACAGAAATTGAAGATTCAAAAATATCTGCTACCGATAAAAGTGAAGATTCATGCCAAAGGGTGACGCGCCATCGCGCCCGTTTGCCAGCCTTGGCTCATAACGGCGACGTCGTTACTGCGGATGCAATCACTGCATGCCCTAAACGGTAAGCTGTTCCAATTTCCAACATATGTGCTCCACTTAATATTAGTCTAGCCTTCGGAGTGTTTTGAAACACGGGTGTAATTGTCGACGCTGCCAGTATTCGAGCACCTGTTGAACCCTATCTAGGCCGCTTTCGAAGTCGAAATTCGCATTTCAGCATTTTTGGAAGCCACATACATATTCAGCTCAGTGGGGAATCTTTAAGACCACTTGTATCAGGGGCTGTGCATTCAATCACCATGGGGCCACAAATCTTATTTAACTTCTTGAAAATGCGCCATTGATTTTTTTTAAGATCACTGACTTTGGTATGTGTAAGGAAGGAATCGTTGGAGATGTCACCACTAAAACCTTCTGTGGTACTCCTGACTATATTGCTCCAGAGGTGAGATGAGCTTTGCAACAAGATTGTAATGTCCTGCTCCCTATGAATTCATTAAGATCATTCTACACCAACCCTACGGAAAATCGGTAGATTGGTGGGCATTTGGTGTGCTACTTTATGAAATGCTAGCCGGACAGCCACCATTCGATGGAGAAGATGAAGACGAACTTTTCACTGGTACCTGCTTGCATTTCGCCTTTTATCTTTATCGTATTAATGAAAAGTCAGTAGGATCCAGGAAAAAGTGTGCGTAAGTATAAGACTAATGAAGTAATTCATTCATTTCAGCTATCACAGAGCACAACGTTTCATACCCGAAAAATCTATCCAAGGAGTCTGTTTCAATTTGTAAGATGTTACTCAACAAAAATGCTACCAAGCGGTTGGGTTGCTCGCTAGATGATATTGCTGCTGAGTTAGACGTTAAGGTATGCAAGGTTTATTGTCATGGACGGAATAGGTGGATGTGTGCTGCACTGATCGTGATTCAATTCCAGTTTCTCTTCGGTATATGATAGTCTGTACTAAGCCAAAAACACTCCTTGGTCACTCAATGCAGTATTTCTTTATCCCTACGTAGCCTTGACAAAATTTTCATCATGCATTTGTTCTGGAAAGGGTGTGCTCGGAAGATTGCAGCAAGATACTAAGGGGGGGGGGAGGTTAGGAATCTGCGAGGGGTCTTTTGTCTCCTTCGCACAATGTCGTCTATATGATGATATGATGAGTTCTGATGACTCGGATCCCTTTCGCTTGGAAGGGCCTCACTCTCCGGAAGAGGAAAATGAAGCGTGTTAGGTAAGTATAGAAAACTTGCTCTGCGGCTAGTAGGTCAGTGTTCAAGAAATATACTTTGCTACTATACTGAGTCAATACATCTTCTGCCTTCTCGCAATATTCTTGCATGTGTGTAGAGTCTGTGGGCTCGGAGAACACGGGCAAAACACTCCTCTCGTTTGTTGCTTTCGTATGGAAGTCTGACCACTGCGCCGGTGACCGTCCGGTAATCGTTCGACGTTCCAAGAGACCCAATCCTTAGCGTGGTTTAGCGGTCACCAACGTAAAGCTTGATGTGCCCGGCCGTAATCAACGGCATCCCTGATCTTTGTTCATTGACGGAGCTGTGAACTCCGGATTCCCTTCTACAGTTGCGTGTATAATGAAGTCCTGGGCGTCGTCCTTTTGACAGCGCGTTGAGTAACGCTGACAGCATGCTCATCCTGCTTTTGCAGTGCCCAAGTCTCTGAGGCGTATGACAAAGCAGGAGGGACCGCAGTGTCGTCGAAGTGAGCACGGAGCCGGGTCTTCTCTGTTCTTTTCACTACTCCCTCGAAGCACTCAAGTGCTTCCTATGCCACGCGATCCCTTCTGCTCAACTCTGGTAGTAGGGCATTAATCGTACTGGCTTCTCATCCTAGATACACGTAGCTAGAGCTCTCAGAGATGCTCGCTCCGTTCAGCGTGAAAGAAGCATCATGTATCCGTTTCACTTGAACATCGTCTCCTTCAGGTTCAGTCGTAATCCACTCTGCAAGTGTTGCCGAATCCGACCAGTACTTGTTGCGCCTGCTCGATGTTTGGTGTAATAAGCACTTTGTCATCTGCGGAGCAGAATTGATGATAGTAACGACCTTCACACTTACGTCTTCCCATTCCATACGACGCATGATGTTTTCTAGAGCGGCACTGAAAAATTTGAACGACATGATGTCGTCCTGTCGAATCCCTCCCTTCACGTTTATGATGACTTCCTCATAGAATGGCGAATTCCTGGTCGTAAAGTTGCAGAACTCACAAGGCATCCTTATGTACTGGGTAGGAACAGTTTGGTCGGGCTTCAATTACCGTTTCTGTCTTCGCATTTCGTACTTTCGCGATACTTCAATGAGTCTGTACTTTCACGATACGGTGTGGATGTGATCGGTTGTGCTAAACCCTTTTCTATTCGAAACCCTGCTTGCTCACATGGCTCCTTCATCTAATATTCTGCCATCACCGTCGAGAATGGCGCGTGTGAATAACTTCTAGATTGCAGACAGCAGGCAGACTGGGCGATAATTTCCAATATCGTCTGAATCTTCCTTTAATGCAGCAACGCAGTCTTGCTAGTTTTCCATGACGTGGGCACTTTGCATCCAACAGGTAGCGCGTGAAGAGCCTAACCAGAGTTCTGACGATAACTGGTAGAAGACTCTTCAGATGTTCTGGTTTGATCCTTCCGGAACCGGACGCCGTACAGTTCTTCATCGACGTGATGGCATGTAGTATTTCGGAAGGGAGAACTGAAAGGACGATATATCCGTCCTTGCCTAAGATAGTGTGTAGGCAGGTATACGGGGCTGTGGAAGAAATTAGAGCGAGTTTCATAGATCACATTCTCCATTGCCCCCCGAGATGCAGTAACTGTTCCGTCACGACGACGAAGGAAAGTCATTTTATTCTGTAGCTGGCTAAGCTCCGGTGGGCTTCAAAAATGTTTTTCCCAGCCTCGGCAGCTTCAGTCGAAACAGCTGCTCTTCTCTCTGCCAGATATTACTTTATCGCTTCTCTGCATAGCTTCGCAAGTTCAGACGTGAGCTGTTTATCGCCTGCAGCTCGCTCGATTCCACGTTATCGTATCAGCTCAAGAGTGACTGAAGAGATTTTTAGCATCTTTGAGACTCAGCTTTCTTTGCGCTATCGTGAAGTTGTTCGACAAACCGGTTGTATTATTCATCAATGTTGTCGATCTTCCTAGAAACTCGGTAACGAAGCGAAGTGATCCCAGTTGACAACAGTTTCGGGGCTTCGTTCCTGAACTTCGCAGCTTTCTCCACGCACTGAAAGGCTCAATCCAGCGCGGTGGAAACGATGGTCTGATCTCTTGTAGAACTTTGGAACAACAGCGACGCCTGTCAGGCAAAAATTTCGATTGTCGATGTGATCTATTTTAGCACGAAACTGCCCACCAGGTGACTCTCGTGTCTATCGAGAATGAGAAGGCTTTGGGTCCCATATAGAACGCTTGCAGCTCTTCCTCGTCGCAGCTCGATGTTGGTGCGTAAACAACGAAGATTGTTAGTGCTGGGGGTGAACCACTTCTACTCATTCGGAAAAGTCCGATTCGTGTTGTCAAGCTTTCGTACGAGTCGATATTCATGAACAACCGCGTGTTGACGAGGACACCTCCACCGCCGACGACTCTGCGTTCGCATGTTCCGAGAGAGAATTCTTCTTTAGTTCCGGAAAGGCGTGCAACAGGCGGTGACTCCTCGTCTTGGTCAGTCGGATGACGTACTTAATCTTCCTAGCTTGCATCATCGGGTCTTCTATACACGCTTCCGATGCAAGCGTCCGTGCGTTGAAAGTACAGGTCGCCATCTTGGTCCTTCTCCTTTCAGATAGCCTGCTACAGCCATGAAATTTTAGCTTCCTCTCCCGAGCGGTGCTGCCGTATTGGAGCTTCCTCGGCTTTAAAGGAATAAGGCCCATTTTATTACTGTTTTTGGCATGCGGATACCCACGTGTAGCTCGCCAGGCTCCGGCACATGAAGGCCCACTCTTGGCCGTGTGACATGCAGACGTGCTGTGGAAGTAATATTACTCGAGAGAATGATGAATGCTTCAATGCGAAAATTCCGTCGAGCAGTAAAAATGTTGACGAGCTTCCAAACAATGCAAGCCGGCATCTGATGGCAAAGACGAAAAGCATGTGACAGGGCATAGGATCGCTTCTGTTTTGGTAGGCAGATATTTCTCCAGATGAGCCCGTTCTTGCTACCTAACCACAGCTTCGACGCGAAGTGGCAAGGCGGTCAATATAACTCCCGTACGATTGGGAACTACCGTAGCTCTGGGTTAGAGAACATGGTAAAATACCAAAAACTACAAAAAACCTTTTACACAAATAAGAGTGGGTAAAACGGGTACGCCCACACGCAGCCACGTTGTCACCCTCCCAATACGTTGAGGTAGCAGGTATTGAGAGAGTGTTGCTGGTAGAACCTCAAAATCAGTTCGGGCTCTTTGAACAGAGATTGGCTCGGACGGCGAATAGTGTTTTCAATTAAAATCGTCATGAGTTAACTTAGCCTCCGAGATTGATAAGAACGTTTATTCACAGCTAGCGTTCCGGCGGGATCGACTTCTTCGGAGTTTGTGGGTGGAAAATAAGGGCCCCTCCGTCCGAAGGTCATGTTCCTGCCAATGGTCGCGCATCGCCCTTAATTCGGTCTCTGAGCGAGTTCAGGTATTTGTCCCGGCGTCCCCGCGAGAGGACTCGTCTACCCTACATCCTGATACAGAATGACCTTTCCCTTTCCTCTACTATTCCTCCCCACACAGTTGGCATGAGGTGAGATATACGACTCCTGATATCATGCAGTCACCTTTCCTTCCGGAAGGGCAAATCACACAGGAGAGCAATTGGCTACTTTAAGATGCAAAGGAGGTACTTCGATCACTTGCACTCTACCGTGGAGATTAGCTCTCTGAAGACAGGCGCGAATGACAGTGCTCGTATCATCTGAAACGAAAGGTACACAAAATGGTATTTTTATTCGCTTTTCCTCTTGCGCATGTTCCATCCTATCACGTCTTCTACGCCGCGTATTCTGTCCATCGCAACTATAGCCATTCTCCGGCGCAAACCGATGAGCCAATCGACTAGACTTCTCTACAGGCTATAGACTTCCATAGAGACTTCTATAGACTTCTTTCATAAAACTCTTTTAGACGGAACTGCAAAAGCAGTTCTAAAAGTGCTCTCGACAGTGGCAATTTTCCCTTCTCCGGTTTCTCCCTTGTGAATTTACATGATCAGATTGCCTACTGAATAGCTCAAGACAGGGGTTCTTTGAGTAAATCACGTTAAACTGCCGTCGATATAGCGGCAGTGAATTATTGGCTTCCGTTCCGAGATGGGCCTTTCGATTTTTGAGACCAACACTGTAGCCAGCGCCGGTGCTAACCTTTGCCCCATGGCTGGTCCTCCACACTTGCTTTTAGTATTCGCCTGAACACCTGAAGATGTTGCACTCTAGGCTTTCGTCGAACAGCATCATTATCTAATTAATGGTAAGACCATTTGAATTCAAACTAGCATAGTGTTCAGTTAGGATTGCCACAACTGCTTGAATTGCATCTTTCCTTGGCACGTTTATGTATAATGCAGATGACTCAAATGACAAATGACATTACATTTTCCACTTTTGACCTAAATTTGCATAGTATTCTGGAGAAGCCAATTGTGTTTGTTACGTGTGCTGGGATTATCGCAAAAGATGCATTAGGATTAGGTTGAGGAACCAAGCAATCCTATCCGTGGGACCACTAACACAACTTATAATGGGTCTTGCTCCAAACCTACTGAGGTCTTCTACGTGTGCGGCGTCCTGGAGAACTTTATGAGTTTCAGCATTGCCAATTTCGCCATCTCCGTGCACACCATGTTCAGATGCCGTGCCTGCCTCGTGAATTCTTCTGAGGCGGAAGGACTGCACCTGAAATGATTTTGGAGGTGCAACCGCGTCATCGCCTGTCCATTCCTGCCAGAGCACTACAACTCTCCTCCTCTATCTCCAAAGCTTATTTTTATCACACCCGACTGCGACAAATCCTGATTTCCTTAGGTCTCTGCTTTTGAGCAGAATTTAGATTGACTGTAACAAGTACGCCTACGCTTCGACGGAGCTCTGAGAAGGGCGCTGTTGCTGATTGCCAAAACCCCGTACCAACTATAATGTTATGCTCTGAAGGCGAGAGATACTGGGGAAAGGCAGCGGAGGAGTCGCCATACTGTGTTCCGCATGTTGAGTGCTATCAAGAAGCGAGTCTATTTTAGTCTTGCAACGGAGGCGATCGTGGAGGGTTTGCAAGCTATTCAGTATTCTACGCAGTCTAGCATAGCTGAGTGATTGTCTAGGGGCGTAACTGGATCCTAACTCCAAAAGTGCAACTGCATCGTCTGACAATTATGCGTTCCCAATAATCGTAACTCTAGAGTCAGACACAGCACTACCGCTCATTTTTCAGCTGCATAAATTGCTCTCGCCTTTGTTGAGGCTAGCTGAAAGTAAGGATCTTGGCTCTGCATTTTTACTTGTTGACAAACGAATAAAATCACAGATATCTTCTACTCTTTCACTATTATCCTTTAGTGGTTATACGGCAGAAATCCTTCACAGCATAATTCTTCAGCAACACGTTTTGTAATACATGAATACAAGTGATCACGTTTGTTCTTGAGTGCCATGATAAGAATTCGTCGCGCCAGCATTCGTATATCTGGGAGCCTTCGGAGTCTCCGCAAACTTTATGTAGTTGTTTGTTTGCGATAATTTTTGGGATTTTTGGGATTGGTGCTTTGAGCAACAGCGTAGAAAGTCCGAATTTTTTTTTCTTTCAAGCCTTCCAAGACTGTATAACTTCATTAGGCTAGGGTTTCGGCACCTTCGCCTTCGTTAGAGCCTAAAATGGTCTAGAGCACTCGTGGCCCCTCGCTCACACGCCTTAACAGAAATTCCAAGAGCGCTCAACTAGGACAGCAAACCCTCAACGATATTGATCGGAGAGGCCAAATTTTTTACCTTGAGATATGCCGCCAGGCAGAACGACCTCGCACTAGCTTCACTTAGAAATAACAAAACACCTCCCTCTGGCCTCATCGCAGATTAAAGGTCACAAAGGTCGAGGAAGGGTGCTTGTTCACGGGTTATGGCTACACACTCATCTTTTCTGTTCATTTGGGGGTCCTTAGCTGTGATCCAATGCGCTTCCAGTGCCTTACGCGCCGCGATTTCGGGTTGGGGATGGAAACGGGATG